GGGCCCCGCGACAACGGTAAGCGGGCAAATTCGGGAATATTCGTGCAACACATCCTTCGACAAGCTCCCACTTTGCTCTGGCGATTTGTACCTTCTTACCATATGACGTGAGTGAAAGTCTGCAAGATGTCCTTCTCGTGAAAGTGCATATCACACACACGTGAGGTGCTAGGCAGTTTCTTATCAGCACGAGGAATAGCGTGGTCCCATACTTCTCGCTGCTAATGTACACGTGGGTACAAAAGAAATGTTGTGGTGTCTCTCATTTACTGTAGCTACTCTACAGCCGGGAACGCAACATCTGGGCATGATGAAAACACGCAAAACATACAAGCAGGCACGCTTAAGCACAAAACTGTTCACGCAGAAAGAAGCCTCCATAGATATCGACGCACTGCAACATGCACAGGCGATGAAGGTTACGGGAATGGCACGAGCGAGCATGCTGTGAGTGAATCTGGATGCGACAGCAGCGCCACATTTGTCGCTGGCAGCGGCGGCGCCGCGCAACACCGCTCAGTTTTGCAACTTACCTAGTTCTCGAAACGTTGGTAAAAGCTAAGTGTTTTTCATCTGCGGCCCATAGGGATCGCACCACGACCTCCTCTATAAAGGAGTCGTGGATCGCACCTTTCCTTCCTCCGTGGGGGTGCGTCAGTCAAGAGTTGTACGAGACCTGCAACTGTGCATAACTGTTTCGGAGGCTATGCAAAGTGTTGCGTTGTTGCACCGTCCGCCACAGGTGACGCTAGCGACCGAGAACAATTTTAAAATGAAGGAGAAAAAGAGTGTGGCAGCTGTTTCTTTTTTCTTGTGCGGCAGGCATCTTCCTAGATGAGGCGTTGAAACAAAATAAACTTGTTTCTTGTTTAATCTTGGGACCTTACGGCTGGTGTGCTCTGGCTGAATCTCGCAGTTGAAGTATGGCAGTTTGGGCTAGTTGGTATGGCATGACGATAGTTATAGCGCGAGAACAAAACGACGACACAGAGACAAGGACACAGCACTAGGGTTTAGCATGACGATAGTTATAGCGCGAGAACAAAACGACGACACAGAGACAAGAAGGACACGAAATACACGTAGCGCTCGTGTCTTTCGTGTCCTTCTTGTCTCTGTGTCGTCGTTTTGTTCTCGCGCTATAACTATCGTCATGCATACCAACTAGCCCAAGCTGCCACACTTCTAGGGTTTAGAGACAGGGAGGGCAAAGAGACTTTAAGCGGGTAGAATTAACTCAAAGTAGGTTATCTAATTGGTGGCTAAAGTCAAGGCACGAGTGAAAATTAAACCATTCACTGCAAAGTACCAGTCCTATACTTCTCTATATAAAGGAAAAAAAAATAAGATAAATCTACTTGGTGGTTCAATAAGTATCACGGCTAGATGGTGTTAGCCGCCGCCCAATCTAAAGGATACAGCCACATTACTCTACTTAATCCGTCCATCGGTCAAGGCCCCTAAATACAACGCCTCCTAAATTTTCCTTGCCTGCCGAATTATCGGCGGACATTTCGTGTCCTTCTTGTATCTGTGTCGGCGTTTTGTTCTCGCGCTATAACTATCGTCTCGCAGTTGAATTTGTGCTTGCGTGCATGGACGCGTGTTTCGAGGCAGTGAAGAACGCTCTGAGAATATTTGTGGAGGCGTGATATTTGCAAAATTATTTGTTTTACTTGGCCCCTCAAAACGAACCTCAAAACGATGCCCGTTCACAGTGCGATATCAACCGCTGAAGAACTTCAGGATGCGATTACCGAAGCGAAGTAAGTTGTCTCACAGCGATCTGGCGAGGTTCTGTTCGGCGTTGCATAAGTCGTTGCCAGACTTGGTGGTTCAGAATTTCCAAGCTGCTGCCAAATTTCACAGATAAATTTGCCCCTGTAGTTGTGCCTTCTCCGTGAGGACTCTGTGTCGTCCGTGGTGCATTTTGCTAGTGCGTGTGCGACGTTGGACGGAATGAACGGTGCGTTGCTGAATTGTGCCTTCTCCAAGAGGGCTCTGTGCCGCCCGCGGTGCATTTTTGCGAGTGCGTGTGCGATGTTTTCAGCAACGCCCCGTTCATTCCGTCCAACGTCGCACACGCACTCGCAAAATGCACCGCTGACGACACAGAGCCCTCACGGAAAAAGCACACTACAAAAATAAATTCTTTGTTGAATTGGCAGCAGTCGGGCAACAATTACCCCCCCCCCCCCCCCTTCCAAGTACAGTGTACCCTAAGTCTGGCAACGACTTGTGCAACGCCAAACAGAACCGTGGACGCCAGAGAGAGAGAGTTTTAATTGTGAGCCGTTTACACACTGTCTCCTCATTAGGCCGTCGTAGTCATTACCCAAGAGGCTGCCTAGAGCACCGCACGGGCCGATGTTTCCGGCACGGGCCCGGCCCGTTTCAGCCAAATATGCCTTTAGCATAAACGAAGCACTGTCAAATCTTTGGTTATTGTGTAGATACGTGCAGCGCACAAGTTAACTTCTAAAGAGGGTTTTGAGAACTTCTTTCAGGGCCACAACTTTAACCGTTTCTGTGTACATTTCAGGTTAATTACACCTGTAACACTTCGCGAAATAATTTTAAAGCAATGTCAAATAAATTTCGAGTCGTAGCTGGCTCTGTCATCTATGCAGTGCTAACAACGCTACCTTAATTTTGCGTTTCAAAGACTGCAGAGTATAATGAAGTGGGAAAACGCTAGGCATCATTTATACTCTTGACTCTGTATAAAGCACATATGAGCTGTGGCTATTGAGTTAATGTAGCAAGTCTTCTGCAAATTTCGTTCATTGCATAATGGAATAAAAAAAAAATTTCCTCCCACATATTCCCCTGGGGGAAACCCAAATACATATATCACAGTGGGGGAGGGGGGGTGAATGTTGCGTAAATGCGTACGGTTTTGGAATGCTTAATTGTTCATCATCATCAGCCTGACTGCACTAAGAGCTGCCAATGTCAGCTCTTAGTGCTCTCGCGTTAGATTACTTATACCTATTCTCACTGTTCCTAGGTAGATATAAACTGTCAATCGCCTGTGGCATATACCACATATCTGTTCATCTTGAAGTTTGTCCCGCGTGTTTGCGCAAAAAGATGAGAAGCATTAACGGGTGCAAAAAACTTCAACACAAATATATTCCAGTGGCTGAGTCGCAATTTTGCCGCATACCTGTGGCACTTACCGACCTATCGTACATGGTCACATCATCTTACCCTCCCATATTAATTTTGGTTTACCCTAAGTTAATTGGGGGTCGTCATGCGAGCACCCATATGTGAGAGATAGATAGATAGATAGCTAATAGTGCCTGCTAGACGCAAAGGAATGCTTAGAAAATTAAAGCCATTGTCCGTCACACACACTTCGATGAGCCAAGCGACAGATATTAGAATTTTTAACAAATATACGGTATGCAGTGCACGCGGTCCCATAATGCAGCAACTATACAGCTTGCGAAACTTTGCGATGCAAGCAATTTGCACCTCTGCAGACACCAAGCAGAGGTTAGCTAGGCATGTACATCTTGTATATATAAAAATTTTATAAGAGATGGGGATCAGGTCACTACTTTTGATGCGTTTTACTTTTCTGTTGATATCCAAAAACAGTAGAAGCAAGGGGAAGAATGAAAAAAATTCTCAGTACAGGGTGTCACTGGAGCCTTTAAGAATTTATGCAATAAAATGTGGCGATACAGCCGTGAAAGTACACCTCCATGTTACAAGGGTACAGGCAGCAAATTATCGTAATTACCTACTCTAGAGCTTTCGCTCACTTTCGCTGTGGGAGCGTTTTTTACGTTTTTAAGGCCATGGCACTTGCGTTTTGGCAAATTAGTACACTTATGAATACTGGCAAAATATGCAGAGATTGGAGGCCATGAAAATACCCAAAAAATAAGGTCTATACGATGGAATTCAAGTTAGTATTATTGGCTAAGTACCAGATGCTAGCATGTATGAAGCTGCCTCGTAACACAAGTCGGGAACATTTACTTGAGTGGCGCATCTGGGATAAGTGGCTCCACATCATGCACTTCACGAAAAACATTTCTGATATATTAATGACTCACTAGTCGTGTCTAGCAGTCTACGAGTCGCGCAGCTAAACAGGAGCGGCAGGCGTGAAGCATAGCTTGCAAACATCGAATGTTTCCCCGAGATATGCGTAGAACTTTTTTCACCCACACTGACATGTTCAAACACAGCTTTTTCCGTCAACTATAGAAGCCTGGAATATGCTGCCCAGAGGGTTCATTCGCTATCACTTCAAGAATTTTAGAAGCCTGTTCAAGAATGTTGCTTGTTTCTGTTTTTGTTTTTTTCCACTTCTGCAATAGCCTAAGTGAGACCTGCAGTACGTAAAAATAAAATAATATACAGCATTTCAAAATAGTACGTGTCGCATCACTACGTATACCCACAAAAGAATGTAAAAGAGCATACTCACGTCATTATACGATACGTATGAAGTGGGGCCTAATTCGGGCCTGGCTCAGGCCCAAGCCCGGGCCCATATAGTGCTCTAGGCTGCTGATTCTCTTGTGACAGTCCTCACATCTTTGTTCAACCGACCGCCATGAAATATCTTGCCTCTACTTTACATGCAACACTTATTTCTCTTTCTTAGGGACAAGTTGCTCGCCCTGTATTTCCATGCGAGCTGGTCGCCTCAGTGTAAACAGGTGGATGATTTATTGCCCGATCTTGAGAAAGATCCAGATCTGGCGCTGACGAGTTTCTGCAAGGTAAAGGTTCCTGGAAATACTTTTATAAAAAAATATGTGCCTATACGTGCATTATAGCAGCAGTGTATGTGCTGAGAAGGCTAATTTGCCGTCATACGTTTTGCCGGATATGTATTTTCAATTTGAATACTTTTTTTTCGGCCTTGCTTATCCTGATTATGTACATTTTCAGAAGCATACATTACTTTTGCACAGGTGGAAGCTTGAGCAAGCCAGGATGTAAGCCTGAATTAGAAAGTCACCTCATGCCGACATTTCGTCATCCTTCTGGTAGGTTGAAATTGTTGAAATTTGAAGTAATGCTGTCCAACTTTTAAGGAGGGCTATATTATTGTGATTCTTCTCCGTAACCTTAGGAATGCAGAGTTGTGCAGTGAACGAAGAATAAAGGTATAATCTAAGGATGGTGATGTAAAATTGAAAATTGGTTTTTATTGCTTAAGGACCCTCACAAGAAATAGCAAGCTTAGCATTGGAAGTCATGTCCCCAATAGCGAGCATTCTACCCTAGGAATTCTGCATATCACTTCATAACACTGTTGCGACCGGGTTTGCGGCACTGGAAATCCGGGATCAAGATGTCGAGGCAGGAGGAGGTTGAACTTCGTAGAGAGGGCTTATTTAGATTATTTACATGCACAGGCTCTCTGGCCCGAAGCTCTACATTTAAAGCTCTAGATTGAAAAAAAAGGCTGTCTATTGAACAAGCTCTGTGAACCACATTAAGCAGCCCGCGAGGGCTGATGAATACACTTCATCTCCCCAGATCTCTAGATCGGAAAACAGGTCTATACGGCACTGTCCAATACATAGCTCACAGCACACCGAGTGTCATTATGCCGGCACCGCACCCAACAACGCACATACACAAACCATACACGTGTTGGTCCCAGCGATGCTGCCTCCTTCGGCGAATCTTGCTTGAGCGAGGTGAAATGAGTCTGTCTCTCGCCCGCTTGGCCGCCACCCGTGCTTTGTCAAATGGCAGTCAGTGTCTAGGCGCCGCCGAGGGGCCATGCCTGGACATCTGGTGCTGATTGAGCGTCGCTGGCTCATCAGTCAAAGACCACAGCGTGATGGTCCGACATCCGTAATCGGCGGAAGCTCGGCATTGTGGCTTTTACCGGGCACAAAGATGCCACGTATCACATCTCTGCATGGACCCCGAAGGACAGCGGTGCTCCGTAGAGTGATTTCAGCCACGCAGCGCCCAGCACATGGAAACAGCAGGGCGTCTTGGCGCTGCTCCTATCTCCACAAAATGAGTGGCTGCCTTTTTTCCGTTCTGGCAACCGTGCCAAAAGGGTGGCCCGCTATACGCAACAGCTCGTTACCGGCGGGAAAATAGACCTGGAGTGATCAGCCGGACAGGTTGCCCGAAGCGTCATTGTTGGGTGGCGTCATCTAGGCCACTGCCGAGAACGCAATACGGCAATCTTCAATCTTCCATGGGCCTTCTCGTCCCTGGGATTACACAGACAGACACACAACCACAGACACGGGAGAGCACCCTGCTCACACTTGAGACACATCGAGTCTGAAAATGTTTAAAACCAACCTTCCTTAAGTATAATAATTAAACGCAAAGCAGCAATCGAAGCATCTCTCTGAGCTTTTCCTCAAGCTCCCAATTTAACATGAAAATAATCTTCTCCTAAACTGCTTTCTAGAAAATAAACACCCAATCGATGCGCTCTCCATGGCATACTTGTGTGCCAGGCGTTAGTAATCTGCTGTAACCTACCAGGCCTATTACTCCTAAAATAAAGCCTTTTGCTTCACACTGTCTTTTTGTCTCCAAAATTTCGTGCTGCCAAAGCTAGTCGTCAGTCTCCTTTGAGCTGACAAAAGAGATAACTGTCATGCTGCACGAGTACAGGACTTCCTCATTACACGTCCGAAATCACACGCTATAGCGCTCCTGTGTGGATTAACTACTAATTCTGCCTGGCGGTTACCGTCTTCATAAAGCTACATAATTTCCGAACCAACTAACTCAATTTCTTTCAGCCACACATACACATGCAAACAAAACAAAAAATAACAACAAAAAACTTTTGTATCAATCCTGAAAATACTCCTTGCGGCTCCATGCTCACTAAAAATCTGTCTCTAACGTCGCTCCTAGTCGACAAACGCTCTAGGCGTGTCTTGCAACCGCACAGCTAAGCGCTGTGCGGTTGCTTTATTAGCTTAGCTTTATTAGGCTATGCTTTATTAGCTTAGCTTTATTTCTTAAGCAAAGCTTAAGAAATAAACAAAACCTGGTACTTGTTACGCAAGTGCTATCTAGTAGCCGAGATACTTGAACTGTTACAAAACCAAAACAGTAAAACTTCAAAACAAAACAAACAAGTCCGCTGGGTACCTTTTTAAAATGCTCACGGTTTTTAATTTTGAGACCAACGTGTGGCGGTCGAGCTCTGTGGGCCTTCCTTGGCGAACGGGGGAGAGAACAATTGCAAAACCTATTTGCTTCGCCTCGGATCCCCGCTGAGCTCCTTGCTGGCGACCTGCATTGTTTCCCTCGCTCGGCTACTTCTTGTGAGCCAGCAACCATGCGCTCACCTGTCCCATCAAATGTGCCGAGGATAGAACTACAGAAGGTTGACTGCCCGCTTCTTTCTGTCTGCATTTTGGCCCAACGCACCCTTCTTTTTCTCTCCATCTGGCAGCTTGGACGCATGCAAGGACACATGCAAAGCAACTCCGGCGCCGACGACAAACGCCTCATTTGGATTACTATGGTTGAACGCCTACTGCCTTTCTTCAAGCACGTGCTCGTTGTCACTTTCCTGCCTTTACGACGCTTCTTATAGTGGTCATATATTTTGCGATATAAAATATCTATGCATGTTTACTCAGTGAAGCGTCTTCCCGCATGTCTTTTAAAATTAATAACATTACTTTTATACCACCCTACATTTACCTTCTCAACTTTATTGACATTTTTTTTTTTTCTGAACTATCGACATTAACATCACAATCAAGTGGCATTACTTTTTCCTGTGTAGCACGACCACTAACCGAAGGAGATTCGTTGCACCAAATGGCATTTAAACCTAATGACATTAATTCCTGCAGTGTGACAGGGGTATAACTCTTGGCAGACACAATCGTGGTGCATTAGGCTTATCAGTTCAAGATAGCCGGACCTGGTGAAAGGTGCTTTAAAGAGTGGAGCATCGATAGTGATAGCAAGGTTAGCATTGCACTTTTCAGACAGTGCATTAATTATTCACGGGGGCAGCATACATGCATATGACACATCATGCACATTTAAAGCTTTTGCATGATCTTTAAGACTTGTAATGGGACCATGCTGGTGCAACGGCTGTGCCCAAAACTTCTGCCTGTGTTTGTGTAACTATACTACATTTAGATTGTGATTAACAGTATTGTCTGGTAGTTTTTAATTCTTATATAAGACTTCAAATAAGAAATAAATGTTGTAAATGAAGTGTTTCATAACCTTTATGCATGGTTTTATTGTAAAGTACTCTATACCATCAAAAATCTAGTATCAGAAGGACCTAAACATGACTTGCTATGTTGTATGAAGATAGCAAATGTGGCAAAAAAGTTTTACTTTCATACAAGTGAAGAGATGTAAGAAAGAAACTACAATGAGAAAGAAAGGTGGGCAACAATAGAGTGATGACACATACACTACAAGCACTCACTTAAAGCATTTGAATCGATGACACTTCTCATTAGTAAGCATTGTCGATTGTACATTTAGGAGTGAATCTTTTGTTATGTGTGTGTGTGTGTGGTGCACGTGCACGTGCACGCGAGCCCATATTATGATTACAATGAGATACTAAAATTCATCAATATTTTGCTTCTCTGTTCAAGCAAGGTCATCACTTTAGCATATATTTAAAATTTCGGTCTCTGGTGGTCATTATCATTGTTAAGCTCTGTGTTCTCATGCTTGTTAGCAAAGCCAGTTTTAAACTTTTGTACTGTCTCCAAGAGATTGAAAGAACTATTTTTTTAGACAGAGTACATTATTATACAGATTGAATGCAACACTCAAATGATTTTTGTGGTAAGTCATCATTGGGACACTGCATGGCTTATTTGGTCTTGTTCTGAGGTAACAGTCTGCCTATTGGTGTTGGCACAGTAAAATCTCTAATTTGTGCATACTTTGGCATGCTTAGTTAAAATGCAGCAAAATTGTACTAAAATGAGAGGCACAGAGGCAGTGATCGTGATGACTTTTTTTTTTTTTTGTCCCAGCTAAGGTGCGTTATAATCTAGTGAGGTAAGCGTCAGTAACAACAGGAAAAAACGGCAGTAAGGGTGGGCTATACTACCAGTCAGCTTTAAATTTTGCGTTGTAGAAAAGCTGCCTACTAAGTATTAATGCTAGTTTGTTAAAAACGTGACTAGTTAAGTAGCAAGATGATACATGCCTAAAGCATTGCAACATACACATGATTTGTGCTGATTTCTGCCTCTTATCCAAATCCAGAATGGAAAGGATGTTGACAGAGTAGAAGGCGTGAAAATGATGGAACTGGTGGGTAAGCTGAAGGCACTGAAAATTCGTGTGGAAATGCCGCCAGTTGCTGCTAGTGAGGATGACCGGGTGAGTGGAATTTCGCATTTCTTAAAAGCACACATGTAAGAGGGGCCATGGGCCAGAGGCCATTTGCCGAATATTCTCAGTTTAACAGTGTCACTGGGGGCTGGGTGGCCGATATGATGGCATTAAAGACATCGCTTATAGCAGGGTTGAACTGAAAATTTAACTTTTACGTTACTATCTGTGAGCGAATCTTCAACTGCCATTATGGCATGCCTATTGTGATGTCTTTAAGTCTAGAGCTACTATTGTGTTGTCTGTTCTAAACTGTGTGCACTGATTCGGTATATGCTCACTGCTATGTGGGTGCTTAGGAAGAAAGCACTGTGCATGATTTCTTCCCCTGCAATTGAGCAACACTAATAGCTTCCAGGTTCATTAGACAATGCATTGCATCAATGATTCTTTCACTTATTCATGCACTGATGAAAACAGCACAAACAAGAGAAACCTTTGAAAGTTTACCTAGAAGACTGACATTACTAATATTTGAAAATGTGAATGCAAATATGAATGTGAGATATCTGATTTTCCAAATTAATGGGAGTTGAATTCATGAGGTTTAAGCATACTATAAAGTTCAATAACATTTTTACTGCACTCAGTGTCTAATTTTTTCCATGCTTGTTGCAGAGTACATACTACTTAACATTGAATGCATTGTTAAAAACTTGGAATAGTTACAAAGCTAGAGCAGATTATTTTAGAACAGCTTTGGTAATGAAAAACTTCTAGGTGTATAACTAAATGTAAATCTGCGCGAGAGGCCAGTCATTCTTCCCGTCCAATGGGAAACTAAATATAACCAGATTAGAAATTGCAAAACTAAAAAAAGCTATGAAAAATTGAATAAGTTCTTTATTATTCACGAGTTTTATGTATAACATACTTCAAAGTATGTTTACATATGAAATGTGTGCAAATCATGAATTCTATTAAAAGGTGTACTTTGCAATTTGATTCACTTAGTTAAATTAGTAAAATATGTGGTCTATAGTAACTTAATAGTGACATTGAGGAAGTAATGTCAGCCTTGTAAGTAGTTAAGCTGAGAGATGTCATTCTGAAAGCAGAAATGAAAGAATTCATTGAGTTAGTTTTTACTTATTTGTATCTAACTTGTACATGACTGTATGTTGTACTTGTAACTGAGCCTTTACACTTGGACCTGAGATCGTTTTTTTTTTTTTTCTGAGGAATTTCTCTTTAACCCTCTAGAAGCTAATGCAGAGGCTGCAGGCCATTACAGCCCAAGCTTATGTGCTTTTCATGGAAGGAAGCAAAAGTTCACCTGCTAAAGGTATGGTGTGGTGGCAGAAGTGTCCATCCTCTAAATCTTATGGAACCTTCTTCTTTTTTTGCAGGTGACAGCTCAGAGGCAGTGACTTTGCTACAAGAAGCTGGCATTGAGTTTCAGCATTTTGATGTGGCCCAGATTCGGTACTTCGACAGCGTAAGGCACTTCTGTATCCTAGCTTTTTTTCGTAACAGGGGGAAGGTAGGGGAAACTTTTTTTTTTTTCGGCATTGGCTCTCATCCTTCAGATGCTGTACTAAATACTGGGGTGTCAAAAGTCACAGGAGTGAAAATTTGAATAGCGCACACATCATGCAGTTGATTGATGATTGATTGATATGTGTGGTTTTAACGTCCTAAAACCACCATATGATTATGAGACACGCAGTAGTGGAGGGTTCTGGAAATTTTGACCACCTGGGGTTCTTTAACGTGCACCGAACCTGCACATCATGCAGTTTAACGCTCAGAAGTACAGTAATATGGTGCATAAATTTTACATGTAGGGCTGTAGTCCTGTGATCTGCTGTGCTGGCTACTGAGATAAATGAAATGTCATTTGCCTATGGCTGGTTTTAGTGAAAAACAGCCATTGATGCTTAGTCGACATTCCTAATAAAATTGAAATTTATGAGGAAGTTTTTATGGTGGCAAAAACAAAGTTGGGCTTAGACATTTCTCCACATTGGGGCACTATCTGCAAGCTGTGCATTCTTGAGAACTGACCTGATTGTATTGGACAAATAGTTTTCTAGTTTTCATACTGGACTGGATGGCAAAAACTTTGTCCTGCAGGACGTGCTTAGTGAGTAACAAGCATCTCCCATGTAAAGACTGACAGGGTGGTCTTTTCGTGCTGCAGATGGAGTATAAGTATTTTTTACGAATGATTGCAACTTTGATGTTGAATTCCAATGGCAGAGTTGGAGCAGCTGATGTACTCAGCGCTCGACTCTGGTGCATAGCAACGCCTCCAAATCCGCAATTGGAATACTATTCGCGCTGCCGGAGCAAGCATGGAGAGCAAGGCGGAAGCAGAAGTCTTTAAATTGCCCGGAATACCTTGTGTGTAGTAATTTGGTTCCACTAATTCTACTTTTGAATTCTGTTGAATTATCGCTCCTACAGTAGTTTCAGTGTCGCTGTCACTATCCGATGAACCGCTTGTGCAGAAACTGTAGCTCTCTGACATGGAGCTATCGAACAGAAAAAGCAATTCTGCATGATTTCTCCAGTCAGCCATGTTGTCCACCATTACAGTCAAAACACGTGACTACAGCGGCACCCCCCAAGCAGGCGAATGTGTTAAAGGGAGTACGTTATTTCGAGTTCCAGTTCACTTCGCCAATTTCGTTAGAGCAACTTCCTGCTCCTCGAAGTCACTCCTTCTTTGAGTCTAGTCCGACTCTCATTAAAACACTTGACTCCACCCTCACTCTGCTATTAAAACAAACTTGCTTCAAGAGGAGCAGAAAAACTTGCTCGACTCCGCCATGGTATTCAACATAAGTTCACCTTACCACTGTGTGTGTGTGTGTGTGTATGCACGCGCACGCACGTGCCCCACATACACACACACACCGTAAAGTCCTGAGCAAATGCCCCCCTTACGGTAAAGATAATTGTACAATATGTGGAAGGAGGGCTTGCTTTGTCATGGACCGAAATTTAAAATGGTGGCAAAAAAGCCTCTAAGAAAAATGCACACCTGTTCTAATGAATGCTTTATCGGACGTGCATGCATTTACGTTTTAGTGTATCCTCATGTGAAATTTCATGTGGGATGAAAAGGGGGGAAAGACGTCCTTCAAATGTTCCAACAATATGTGACAACTCAAAATGCAACCTCAAGGCACCACACTGTAGAAGTACTAAGAAGTCATGCTGATATCTAAGGACTCTCCAAGCTTGTGTTCCTAGGAATCACTGCTGCAAGTTTCTGTAGCACAGAACAGCTTGACAAAATGGTGGAAGAGGTGAGGAGACGTGCTCAGGATTTCATGTGTGTGTGTGTGTTTGTGGTGTGTGTATGTGTGTGTGCGTGCGTGCATGTTCATTCATTTGGGAGGGGAGACTCAGACATAGGACAAAAAAATGTAGCACAATCTGTAGATCACATTTCCATCCTTTCATATGAAATATTTAAAGCAGAAGGCTCAACTTTCTACACACAATAGGTATGTTATATTAGTAGAGGGGGCATAGTCTGCATGCCTGTTGTTTAGAAATTGAAATTGCTCCAGCCACAGTTCAAATAGAGTCCGACGTTTCGAGACCGACTCGGTCCTTCCTCAGGGGGTGACTGTCTTGGTCATGGAAGTGTCGTCGCGTCGTGTCTCTCACCACGGCTCCGGCTTTTCCTTTCCACCACGTTTCGGAGACCGTGAAGTAAACCGAAGGCATTGTTCCCAGCGAGCGGTTCACGTTGGCAGGCGTATGCTGAATGTGCCAAGACTCGAGCAGAGCCTCTTTCCCAAATTCCGTTCTGTTTCAATAACAGAAGCGCCGTCTAAGTCAATTTTATGGTCGTGCTTCTCGCAGTGCTCCGCCAGAGCGCTACGTTGCACTTCCATCTTCCTGACGTCGTCTTGTGTTGGCGCATTCTTTCCGGGAAACACTTGCTCGCCTATGTAGAAGGCTGGACACCGAGAACACGGACACTTTGTAGACAACGCCCGGGGTAGCTCCCTCGGAGGTCGGTCTTTCGGCCGCGGTAGCAAGCGAGCGAGCGTCGAACAGGTTTATGGATTACCGTGACCACGGCTTTTCCTAGGACTCTCGAGAGCTGTTCACTTATGCCCGGCACATGGAATGGCGACGCGGTTGTTTGGCGCCTTCGTTTTTCTCGTGTGCTGTGGTGTGGCCAGGGCGAAAGTGGTCGGGCGGGGTGTCGCTTGCAGGTGTCTTTCCGCGGGCGTGGTTTGTCGTCGCGACAACGGCGTGACGCCCGGCGGTGAACGCTTCTGTGTAGCCATTCCCTCGTAGCTCGGCGACAATCCTCTTTTTTCTTTCTTCCTCTCACCCTCTCAGGGTGAGCACTGCGTCTCACCCTGAGAGGAACGAAAGAAGAAAAGAGGATTGTCGCCGAGCTACGAGGGAATGGCTACACAGAAGCGTTCATCCGCCGGGCGTCACGCCGTTTGTCGAGACGACAACCACCGCACCGCGGAAAGACACCTGCAAGCGACACACCGCCCGACCCCCTTTCCGCTCTGGCCACACCACAGCACACGAGAAAAACGAAGGCGCCAAACAATTGTGTCGCCATTCCATATGTGCCGGGCATAAGTGAACAGCTCTCGAGAGTCCTAGGAAAAAGCCGGGGTCACGGTAATCCATAAACCTGTTTCGACGCTCGCTCGCTTGCTACCGCGGCCGAAAGACCGACCTCCGAGGGAGCTACACCCGGGCGTTGTCTACAAAGTGTCGTGTTCTGGGTGTCCAGCCTGCTACATAGGCGAGAGCAAGTGTTTCCGGAAAGAATGCGCCAACACAAGAACGACGTCGGGAAGATGGAAGTGCAACGTAGCGCTCTGGCGGAGCACTGCGAGAAGCACGACCATAAAATGACTTAGACGGCGCTTCTGTTATTGAAACAGAACGGAATTTGGGAAAGAGGCTCTTGCTCGAGTCTTGGCACATTCAGCATATGCCTGCCAACGTGAACCGCTCGCTGGGAACAATGCCTTCGGTGTACGTTCACGGTCTCCGAAACGTGGTGGAAAGGGAAAGCCGGAGCCGTGGTGAGAGAACACGACGCGACGACACTTCCATGACCAAGACAGTCACCCCCTGAGGAAGGGACCGAGTCGGTCTCGAAACGCGGACTCTATTTGAACTGTGGCTGGAGCAATTTCAATTTTCTAACTTTTCTACCCAGCCAGACAGATTGCTGTCAGAAATGTTTACGTTTGCCTGTTGTTGCAGCATTCATCATAAAGAAGCAGCATGGCATTAAAAGAAACCATGTTTTGTTTTTTTCTCAGTTGAAGTATAGCTTGCCTTGGTGTTCTAAATTGTTGTTGGAATCAAAATATAAGAAATTCGAGGAACTTAGTCAGCTCTTGCAGCATGCCTGTATGTCACAAAATATATTTTCAGAAAATTCATTTTTTCCATGATTTTACAGCTCCAAGACTCGTCTCCCTCTTAATTTATGCCAAGTTTATCTTTTTAGTTGTTTTCTTTCATGCACGAAATATATGCACAATGTACCACATTTGTTACTACATGAAAGCTTTAAAAATTTGCCCTAAAACACCTACTTGTTATTTCTTTCATAATGCTACCAGTGAAATTACAATGTACAGCATCTCATGTTATAAAACAATACTTTGGTTAATTTTGTAAGTGTATGCTGCTCATAGAATGAACAAGACAGCTGGTACATTCAATTGCTAACGTAACCATGTCATGTTGCTACGAATCTGGTCACTTAGCTGTGATGTAGGCTTTGATGTACGTTCTCAAGTAAATATCCGCAATGTGGACTTAAACCAAGGGCTCTGTGAATCAAAGTATGATGTGGATTATTTAACTCTTAATTGATGTGCATGAGTTTCATTTTCAACCTTAATTTATAGATATTGGTGGTTATGCTGTTTTTTTTTTCTCATTCGCTTGCACATGTTTCTTTTGTTTCAGAGCTCCTGAGCATTTGGCAAAGAAGGGAGCTTCCAATTACCCACTATTGTTTGCAATGGAGATTTCATTGGTGGCATTGATAAAATAAAAGGCTGGATGAACAAGGACAATTGGCTCGCTTGGGTGACCTAAATGTGTAGACCTGATACAGAGGTATTCGCTTGCTGATGGCATCAAATTCAATTCTCGATAATTAAGCCTCCCCTGCCAATCCTTACAGTGTTTGCAACGTTGGGCTCTTTCTGTGATGACTGTGGTATCAAGCATGAGCTACTGCATCTATTCACTTATTCTCAGAATTCAACCACTTCGCGTGGCTGACTAGCTCCTGAGCACCAGATGACCTAAGGATCACAGTGGTTTGAAGGAATACCGTGCTTTGAAATTGTTTTGCATTTCTGTTTGATTGCACTGCAACAAATTGCTTCCACTCTGTGTTGAGTGCGTAGTTGGATCAAGCCCTCGAGAACAATCCCTCCTGCTATGCTGGGAAGTGCAGGTTTAGAGAGGGTGGTTGTAGTGAGGGTATAAACTTATTGGACCTGCTGTCACTGACAAGTTTCATCCACTACCACAAGTAGAGCCTGTTGGAAGATATGCCAATTTGTATGCTCACATGTCAGTTTTTTTTTTTATACTGTCAACCTTCATGGAGGGTTATAACAGAGAGGACAATACAATGACATATTAGTCGAGCCCACTTATAACGAACCTGAGCCTGACGCGGCATTTGTTCGCTGTATCCCGAAGTTCGTAGTAAATGAAACACAGCTTTTAAAAAAGTTGTGAGTGAAAACACAACCTTTTTTGCCCAAAAAAGTCCGTGATGTACGTGTTAGAAGGAAAGCGATAAGGGCGGTCTCGAGTTTATTTCAAACGGCAGCGTGCTCATTCGCCGAGGCCCCGTGGCATAAGCTGCACAAGGCACTGGCTCCAAAGTTTCGTCGTTCTCTCCATCCAATTCCTGCAAATCACTCTTGCCACGTACTTCATTCACAATGCCTTAATCTGTGCACGGTTTCGCGCGGGTGTCGGCATCATCATCGCCGTAATTAAACCATTGCACAGATGTCCCACTTGCTCTCTCATGTTCAGAGTCTACGGCGCTCTTTCACACTCGCCGCCACATTGGTCCAGTTAAGAAGCGTTAGGCTCGGCATCAGGCCCGAAGCCGACGAAGTCGGCCTCACGAAAACAGTCTCGCGCGCATGTAGCCGTCACCGTCGCCCACGAAATATTGACCATCTCCACAGCTGAATACTGGGACGCCCAAAGCGGCAAGTTGGCTGCCAGGTGGTCAACAGCTATGAGCAAGCGCTCTGCAACCCGCCACCTAATGCGCGGATTACGCCCAAGCCAAGTAGTCACACTTTTTCCGTTTTGTTGCGCAGCAGGAAAAAGCGTGCAAGTCCTCCCGTCTGCCATCCTGACCACACACACACACCAAGAGCGAGCAAAGCGCGCACAAGCGACACACATGCCAGAATGCGTGGAACAGCTCTCGGCCCGTTTCTAGTCTGAAAACGAAACTTTTGAATTGGAGCCAGCGTGCCTAGCATTGCGCAGTGGTGGAGACGGGTGAAGGAGTGGTGGTCAAGAGAGGAGAGCCGATTTGCGAGAGAAGGGAAAGGAGTTGCGATAGAGGAAAGAGAGGGGAGGATACGGCGGGAGGGCAACCTTGAAAACCAAAACACGCGGGAAGAAGGCAGGTCAGGTAGCTTGCTTGAAAGGTCCGCGAAACGCGCCACTCGCATGTACTAAAACTTGAAAGAATGCCTACACGCGCAGAGGTCAAAGCACAGCCGCCTGGATCGACGTGCGCAGCGGGTTCGGTGGCCGCGGTCAAAAAGTGGTTTGTTGCACCGGCAGGTTTGCGTGGCCTCACGACTTCGATATTTCGGGATTCATTTGGCGCAAATTAACAGCCGTTCTCGTGCTTCCGCACTTGTGCGGAGGGCATGCTGAGCAGAGTGCAAAGTGAGCGAGAACAGGTCCTAAACACAAAACGAATCGCGAATTATCAGAATTGGTGGGGTAGCATACATGCATGCACTAGACGCAGACGATCAGATACAGTCGATGGCTGACGATGTTGGCAAATGGTGTGGTCACTCCATGCCGGCGACGCCAACGACAGTACCAGCGATCAAAAACAGGGGAGATGGCGGACCGGTCCTTGAAAGATCGGTGGCAGTGTGAAAACACTGGCCTCGTATGGCAATGCAAGGTGCTCAGAAAAGGGGGGGGTGGGGGACACAAAGGACGAAGGGGTAAAATGATATGGATTTAGTGAAATTCAGTTTGAGCGTGAAGGAAAGGTACTATACAGTCAAGAAGGGGAAAAAGCAGATGACTGTGTAAGCGCTCACACTGTCGTCTGTTTTTGTTGTCTGTTTCGTGTAATTGTTACCCCGAGGTACTTTAACTGGTGCGCATATACCAAGTGTCCACCAATGCTATGCGAATAGGAATGAATAGTTTTCCTTTTGATGATGTGTATATAGGAAGGCTTAGAATAATTCATCACCATTCTCCATTTCCTACACCAATAATCTAAATTTTGCAAAATATAAATTTTGAGTTAGTCTCTAGCTTGGTAATTGTGGTGCAAATTAAGCAGTCATCTGCAAAAAGTTTCAGCTGAACACCCTCTTCTGCTGTGCTACTGATATCATTGATATAGTGGAGAAACAATAGTGGTCCCAGTACTGAGCTTTGGGGCACTCCTGAAAGCACAGCTAAAGGATCTGATAAATGACCATCCAGTTTTCCTAACTGTGTATGGTTTGTTAAATATGCTTCAATCTATTTTATTACTGGCTCATTTAAAGCATCACATAATTTGAAGACTAAATGGCTACGGGAACTTATTGAATGCTTTTGTGAAATCCATGCGAACCACAACAACCTGTTGTCTTATATCTACAGAAGTGCGAAAATCATGAATTGTTTCTATTAACTGCATAACGGTTGATAGCCCGGTCGGGAAATCATGTTGGCAAGGGTACAGCAAAGTGTTCTGATCTAGAAAGCTCAGTATATGTTCTGTTAGTATATGCTTGAATGCTTTGCAAGTTCCAGCAAAACTGGGTCACGTTTCGAAAACAATGAACATTCAAAGGCTGACGGGGGCCATTGCAAACCATCGAGTGCTAGT